CCAGGACAACAAAACCTCCCATCCACCAATTAGTTGGCTTCGGATTGGGGCGGAAACACTGGCTAGCCCTTGAGCCTTCTTTTCCCTGGGTGAGGGGCAGCTTTACTTGAAAGGCATGTGCTTTGCAAGGAGTGCATAAGAGAATTTTGCGAAAGAATACAGATTTGTTCTTTTCCCCAAGTGTACCATTTATCCGCTCTGGCTAAGAGTTTTCCCGTTTAGTGTTTCCCATTACCATGGCGGCCTAGGCTCCTACTCATCGTTGTGCATCAGCGCATTCCGTTGCAAAAGAACTTCCTGCCAGGATTTCAGTCCGATAGCCAATAAACTTCCGCTAATAATCGTGTTGGAAAGATTTCTTGGTAGACTGCAACCATACTCAGGATAGTCACCAGTTTTATCAACATCTAACTACCCCTACTATTTAGGTCCATACTGCACTGTCACTGCACGACTCAGAAAACAAAACCCTCTTAATCAACACAGTTCGAGAATGAGTAACACATCATTTTTTAGTCACTGTCGTGGTAGATTTAGAAGAGTGGAATGGAAAAGTTGCTGAAAAGATGTGCGCGTGTTCCAGTTACGTAGTAAATGCTGAAGGGATTGATGATATCATTCAATAACCAAGAAGCAGTGTGAAATCTCGCTCCGACTGCTGCAGGACTATCCTCCCAATGTTCTGGTATAGCGTACTGAATCGACATTAGTAGAGAACTTGGAGGTTCCAGCAAGTGTTACAGTATCTGGCACGGCTCACCAACTATTGCCCCATTCCCTTGAAGATCCGAGTTTAATTGTCATGAGCGCAAACCCCTTTCCTTCAAAGCACTGTGATACCACGTGTATCGTAAAGGATAGGCGTGGCAACGCTTGACGTCCACGTCAGGGCGCAGCCCTCGAAAATGCAAGATAATCTGTTTTTGCCAAATGGCTGCGATAATTTGTTCAGCGGGTAGAATTTGCCCCTGTGAAAAGCTCTTTAGGGGAGTACGGCGGTCGAGTACGTGCTAGTGCTGGCGCCCATGGCGCGCGCTTCATGCGCTTTTGCGCCAAATGAATATGAGTGAAATCCTTAGTGGAAAAACAGATTCCTTTCTTATTAAAATTTCCACGCAGATTAAAAATGTGGGAATGTGAACGGCTGCCGTTGTAATGACAGAGAATAAGTAAACAAAACAAATCGGGAAATGTCACAAGTTTATCCTTCTGTTGTTGCTTACACCTTGTTGCGCTGTTCCGTAGTCATCTTTCTCTTATCACTTGATAACCCTTAATTGTGATGACGTCTACATGACACTGATGAACCACTGCAACAGCGGAGATTCAGACAAGCTATCCTGACATTCATGGGTGCTTCTGATGTTTGATCTACCATTTCCATTATGAAGACATCGGGCATTCTTGCAAAATCAGGGATATGCTACAAGCCACAGGGCCACCCACCACTTACCATTAGGCTGACCCTCCTGATCACGCAGTGGTCGTGCATTTCGCAAGGTTTCGTACTGTTATGTGATAAGACCGTATCAGCCGTCAAAGGGAGGTGGTCTAGCTCAGACTGTGCTTGCTATTTGCTCATGGAGGTTTTGCTATGGGGCAAGCAAGGCTGATGACGACCACCATATCAAATGACTCATCAAATATTCGTCAATACTTCTGGAACGATATGCACCGTGTTTGTCGTTCTTTATTTTGTCTCATTTTCCAGAAACTTCCGTGAATCCTCATGTGAGGCAGGATGTACGACGAGGAGCCGCGTGCAATCTGCAATCTGCCCCTCAGCGTAAGTTCTCCACTACTTACTGTTAAGGTCCAGTAGGATTTTACCCGTTTCACCAGACGAGGTCAGACATGCCCATAAAAAGGAACTGCTTGTTTAGCGGATTGCAAGGTAAGCTCAGCATGATCTAGTTCGAGGAATCTTGGAAGCGGCGCCCAAGGTTTGACCCTTGGTCTTCCGATGCCGCGATGATATGTCCAATGGTAAGTCAGCTTTTCCCGGGCGCAGGCGCTAGATGCGCCCAAGACTAGCTCATATCGGTGTATGAGCCATGGCTCTCCAACTTAGTAATGACCGATGACCATCTTCCTGGTTTAGTTCCTTGCCGAAATAGTCGAAATGAGTCAGGCGGTCACCCCAACACAGATAGTCCACTAGTAAACCTGGTTGGGTCGATTTTATCCCGCTACAAATAAAAACCATGTGATGGTTGCAACGGAACTGGAGAACTGCTAGCCCAATTCGTAAGACCGTCTATTAGCCTTGAGCTGCGCTTTTTGAAAAGAGGTTTTCAGGGCACTGTTGGTATACTTAGCTCATTGGTGCTGCTCTCGCAAGTGATCGCCTTATTTCTCGTCTGCTCCGATAATTTCTTCATTTATTTCTTCGAACTTCTGATCGCATTTGGAATGGTATTCTTTCTCTCACAAGGCGTGCGACAACAGAAACCCGGTCATTTAACTGTTTATCTGGCATATTTGGTGAGTACTCGCTGTTTTCCCGAATTGTTCCGTGTTCCGACTTTCGCTTCGAAAAATAACCTGTGTGTTAGAAGTTTTACACTTGTTCGACCTTTGCATAACATTTCCTGTGTTTCTGCAGCAACAACATAGGAAATGCGGTGTTATAAAGCGCGGGGTATCATCTAGGTTCCAGCTCACTTACTGTCCGCGTCAACTTACAGCTTATTTTGTTCAGCCCTTTCGCATCCGTCCCTTTTAGTTTTTCAGCCCTTGCGGCATCGTCCCTGAGCTTTAGACTCCACCAGCCTATCTGAGGGGCCCGACACACATTTTTAACTGTTGGTGTAGGCGCAGCATGGCTTTCAAAGAATAGCCTTGTTTGCCTTACCTATGCATGCACCATATGTTATACTATATAGAGAACTACCAAAACTCGGCATTAACCTATTTCGAGAGGTGGGAGGGGCCCGAGGCAGCGCGACAGTATCAGTATAGTATCCCCCTTCTTCCCGACCAACATTAGCGCCAAAAGGTCTGCCCAAATAAATTCGAAAGAATGATGATGTTGTGAGACAGACAGCGGCCACTGTGATCAACTCGCTCTGCTTGCAAGTGCAGATGACCAAAGTAAACTCATGCCTTAGAGGAATGGATCGGGCGCGTCGCCGCTCTCCATCCTCCCACCTTCTCGATCAGCTTTAGCGCTAAAAGGTCTGCCCAAAGAGATTCAAAAGAATGATCCTTTAGCTTCCGGCCTTTACTGGTAAGTTCTCTGTTTTAGCTGGTTAAAAGGAATTCCAAAGCGATAGAAGTTTCATGATGGTTCAGTTAGTAGATTAAATTCGTATCGTAGGGCAATCAGGTCAGTTCCAGGTATTTTCAGGCCATCTACGTGTTCATGATGCTGTTCATAATCTTTGGAATGCTGGTTGGTTTGAGTTTTTTGCCAAGTTATAGACATAAGTACTGTGATGATATCATGGTGACAAAAACCACGAGTATGTCGTCGTCCACCACCGCCTCTTCATTGAAAACCAATCGAATAGGTAGGAATACATCGAATGAGATCGTAATTGATCAGTCTGTAGGTTGTATAAGCTCTATTCATTACTTCATGCGCGATCATTCAATAATTTAACTTAGTTACGGGGCATCCCTGGTCTGGGTGGGCTCGATCCGGTGGTCGATCTTTGGGCCGTGTTAAGCATGCCAGTTCCCTTTGCCCTCCGCTCGCGTTGATAATTAGGTTCGAAGAATCGCTACATTACAAAGGAAATCTGGAGTGAGATTTGCTGGCCCCCGCTGAACTCGAGCTGGTATATTGTTCTTCACTGAATGCGCATGCATGGCTTAAACTGCCTCTATATATTGAAATGGCTTAAACTGCCTCTATATATTGAAATGGGCTAAGTGTGGGAGCCCGAACGCAAAACATTTTCTAAATTCTCAAACTAAGATTTACCAT